GTATGGGGCGGTGGAGGGGCCCGGCCTTCCTGGAAGCTGTGCGCCCGCTTGAGCTGCCGAGCCGTGTCGATGACGAACTCCACCCGGTCGGCCCCTTCGTAGTTAACACATCCTCTGCAGACGGGCTCGGTGAAATCCCAGATCATGGCCCAGGGCATGCGGGGCAGATCGCACAAGTAACACGACTGCCTGCGAGAGGCAGCGGCCACCGCCACCGCCGCGGACGACATGGCCGAGTCCAGGGGCAGCGAGCGCCCCCGCGCCTCGTCCCCTGCCTCCTCCTCCTCCTCTTCCCGCCGCAAAAATCTCCTAGCCACCGGGGAGGCTCGGCTCGGTGCTTCGCAGCGGCTGCCGCCTCTTTGCACGGACGGCGACCTCCTTTCGCGTTCAGCCGCAGCTCTGAGGCGAGAAGGAAGCACCGCGCGCGACTTTCCGCCAGGCTCTCCGGAGTCCTCTTCGGCGACTCACAGGGATGACACGGCGAGATGCATCGCCCTCCAAGCAGCCCCCACTCAGACCCCCCCTCCCGAGTTCGCGCCGCGCTGCGCTCCGCTCGCCTTGCTCGCACCGCGCTCTGGCTACTACAGCGCTGCCCGCCGGCTGCCGGCTGCCCAGACACTCGCACTGGGGCGGGGACTCCAGAAGCTACCGCCGCCGCCGCCGCCGCTTGTGCGCTCTGCTCCAGTGACTCGATTCTTCGACAGTGCCCAGGAGCGCCTGCGTGCTCGGCTCTCCCCCCTTCTTCTTCTTCTTCTTCCTCCTCCCGCTGCTCATTGAACTTCTGCCAAGACAACAAGAGCTGCAAGAATAACCAGCTCTCTCCTAGTCAGCACGCGGGGAGGGGAGGCGGGGAGGAAGCGGCCGGGCTTTCTCATGTGAATGGATGCAAATATGGGGAGCTGGGGGCCTTCCTCCTCTCCTTTCTTCTGGGCAAGGCAGCTTTGATAACAATGCGGGTGTCATGTTGTTCGCCGCCCAATACACATTTTGCTTTGCATCGTGCCACCGCCTTAGATGTGTGTGTATGTACGCATGCTTTAAGAGAGGCTTTTAAATTCTGCAATGGCTGCTTCTGAAAATCTAGGTTACCATTTGAATCCCTTGCTCTAATTCCGGCTTCGATCTAATGCTAGGTGCGGTGGTGACTCTCTTCGTATGACCTTCGGCAAATCGCTCAGAGCGAAGGAAAACTCCCAACTGTGCTCAAGCCCCCCTACCCTTCTCTGTAACCCCCCCCCGCCGCCGCCGCATGAAACCGCATAGATAAAAAGGCTTCATTAGAGCACACGAGATATAAGGTCTGTCCTGAGAATTATGGGAGAACCTTTAGTAGCGCTGCCACTCCTTGCAAATTGCATCAGAATTTTTTTAAAAAAAAATCCGGGTAGAGATTTATTTGGAAACAAATCCTGGTGGATTGCCGTGGAATTTGTCCCCAGTTTACACTTCGACTCTAAATCCATTTTCTTTTGGAAATAAGTACTGTACCGTGAAATACTTTCCAGAAACGATGCCTAGGATCGGGGTTTACAGGCATAAATAATTTAATTTTGAGTAAGAAGAGAATGCATAGAATAAAGTAACGTTGGGCTACGATCAGTCCATAAAAAGTAAAAGCCAGCCACTGAAATTATTTGAGTTACTGTCAATCAAATGTAACTAAGTCTGAAATGTACGATTACATTCCTAAAATAGTTTGCTCACGGTAAACTAACTGATCTATACTGTCCACAAGCTGTTTTAACTGCGCAGTTTTATCCTTATTTACTGGGAAGCAAATCCCACCAGATTTCATTACGGGTGCATTAAGTTCCTGTGCATTCGGAAATATGCTTCTTTTTTATTATCAACCAATGAATTAAGGGCATGTATTTTTAGACTGCAGTCGGGAAGGGGTAAGAGTAATCCTTTGCACGAGAGAAATCCCACTAAACATGGCGGAAGAACACTCTGGGGCGGTAGTTGCGTGTAGTGCAATCGAGGCAAAATACTCAAAAGTTCATACATTTTTTACGTGCCATCATTGCTTTGGCTACATTTGGCAGTGGCGAGGTGTATTATAATTTTATTCCTTACTTTCCTTTAAAAAATATTCCGTTCTCAGACAGAAACCGTATACGGCGCACGGTAAACACACACAAACGTTTGCAAAACGATTGTTTTCTCTCTCCGCCCCCCCCCCGCCCGCTTCCAAGTTTTCAGACGTTTCTTCTTTTTCCTTGCGCGATCGGAAGCCCGGTCAATTGATGTAGCGTTTGCGTACAGCTCGGCTACCTCAGCAGGCAAGGCGGGCCCCTGCTGTATACTGTACACACGTTAAGTGTCATTGTGTGTGCCTATGGGATTGTGCCGTGTAAACAAAGTCGCAGCGTTTCCCTAAAACTAGCAGCGGCTAGGTCACCCAATCCCACAGTACTGTTGCTGCTGCCGCCGCGGCTGCCGCTGTTGTTGCTGCTGAGTTATGTAGGTTACAAAGGGAAAGGCGGGCGGGAGGAGAAGAGAGCTCTGACGTTTGCATTTTGTTCAAGGGCTTCTGCCTCACTCGCGCGGCGCGCAGGCGCAGTCAGAGACGTGACTCTATGCAATTGGCACTTGAAGCCTTGTGAAGCGAAAAGCACATTCCAGGGACACGGAGAGATCGAGCGGCCGGGCGGGGGGAGCGAGCGCTGCAGCCAAGCACCGTCACAGCATTAAGCGCCGCCCTTTTTTGCTGCTATTTCTGGGCTCTTAGCGCTCCCTCCCTCCCAGGCTTAATTTTTTTACTTCAGATAGCATGAGTAGCTTGCATGCTACAGTGGCGGAGGGGATGTAAAAATGGCAAAAGGCACTATGGCGCTCGCGCGCGCCTTGCAATGCAAAAAGGTCACTGTGGCCACCCCGCTCCTTTCTAAATGAAGGCGCAATGGTCGTCCTTCCTTCAGAGCTGCCCAGGAGCTGGAGTAACAGGCATTGCAGATCCGGGCGCTACCGTCCGGTTAGCCTACACCCTTTAAAGAATAATTCTGGCTGCCGCCATGAAAGGCATTTGTCTTGCAGTAGCAATTAGCGGCATTAGGTTGCTTTAACAACGTTTCAGACATTGAAACTGCTGCTTAGCAATTGCAACCCGGGCAGTGGTGGCTAGCATTCCCGGCTGTTTTTGCAAGTGCCCAAGTTTCGGAAGAAGATTTGGGGGTCGCAGTGAGCTGTGTCTGCACAGAAGATACACACGCACAACACTTCCGCGTAAAGAGAGAGGACAAGCCAGTCTTGCTCGCTCTGAAGTCAGGGAGAATCCATTGACTCAGTACTTGAGCCGCTTGCCAACGCCTTTCGTTTGTAACATGTTCCTCCCCCATCCGCAAACGCAGTTGCTTGAGCTGTCAACTTTCCGACCGCCATTCTTCCTCTCTTTTCGCAAACAAACGCCCCAGGCTGGTTTTAAAAAAAAAAAGAACACCCTCTCCCGTTTGAACTGGAATGAGCTGGTTGTGAGTTGGAAGAGCAGAGTGTAGATCATTATCTCTCCAACAGGATTGGCAAAGGGGAAGCAAAAGGGATCTTGCTGACGTTTTCTGCCTCGTTGCTAGCTGAAAATGCAGTTGTTTGAACAGCTTTTCCTAATGATGCGGAAAGGGGGGAAAAACACACCCGCGATGTTATCGATCTTCCTGGATCTCATTAATAAACCTATTCCAAAATTTCACGGAAGCCATTTAATTCCAAATTAGCAGGTTGTGGGGTTTTTCCCTCCCCGTTTTTGTTTCGTTTTGTGTGTTTTAATCTATTATATATGACATGACTCTCCCGCGGGGATTTCCAGCGTCAACGCCTTGCCTGTTACTGATGCGTCTGCAAGAGATATCAGCCAATCCTACCAGCACGCAAAGCAGTGCGGTGGGGTTGATGGGCGCTTCCTTTTTGGGCAAACCTAGGCAAAAAACAGACAAGCCACCAAACCCCTCTTGCAGATCCAATACACACGCGGGCGCATCCCCTTTAAAGGGCATAACTGCAACTAGTGGTACATTAAGGGAAATCCTATTGTTCCCTCAGTGCAATGCGTGCTTAATAGTTTCCTGCTCTCTGATGCCTCCCCAGTGAGGCTACCAGGAGACGTAAACATTGTCTTCCCTTCACTTCGCAGGGCGATTCTCCTCACACCTTCCCGCTCTTCCCCTTCGCGGCCCCATCAAACAAGATAATTGTTAACGAGCGTCATGCAACCTCGACGGTTTAGTAACCGTTAGTTTGTGGATAGGTATACAAAGCGAAATCCAGGCAATATAGATTTTTTTAAAAAAAAATACATTAAGATTTGGGCGGCTTCTCTCGCCGAGGAAGAGCCCCCCCCTTTTTTTTTTCTCCTGGATAGGTATACAAAGCGAAATCTAGGCAATATAGATTTTTTTAAAAAATACATTAAGATTTGGGCGGTTTCTCTCGCCGAGGAAGAGCCCCCCCGCCTTTTTTTTCTTTTTCTCCTGGACAGATTTATTTTTTCACACACGACAGCCATGAATGTCTGGAATTTTCTCTGAAAGGAAATTGCATCTACTACCGCCGCCGCCCACAGCCTCCCCCTTTTTCTGTCCTTCGTTTTGGTTTGGGCCGGGAAAGGTTAACGCGCCTTGTTTTCCGTTTCAAAGCCGCCTAGCCTTTTAATGTTCTTTTCTGCGCTTTCGGATTCTTTTGTCAGCTGCGCTTATTTCTCTCCCCCCCCCCCGTTGAAGAAGAAGCTGTACACTTAGTAAACAGAGCTTTGTTTTTGTCTTCCACCCAGTGCCCCCGTTCTTTTCTCCAGAATGAATTTGGATCCTTTCCAACGTGGCTGCAGCAATTGCTGCCTACACACAAGAGAGAGAGAGCGGGAGGCTGGTTTCTAGGGTGAGGCAATGCGTCTACGATTCGTAGAGAGACAAGGCTGGAATTGTAATTGCTTCCATCATGTGATGGCTTATGAAAGAGGAAGTTCGGATGTTTTAGTCACGTACTTCTGTGCCCTCCTGCTTAGCCTCCAGATTCTATATAAAAAAAGGAAAACTGCAAATATTTTACTTACTCTGGTAGAGAGCCAAAATTAGAGTGTTTGACCGTGGAAAAGATTGTCACCGGTGGGAACTTAACGTAGCATAATGGGAGGGTAATTTTTTTAAGAGGTTGGGGGCGCGTTTGGTTCTTTTTTATAAAATTGTGTTTTAACAGGAACAAAAATGGCAAACTTAAAGGTTTGACTTCTCTGTTGAGACATCGGTGCATATTTCCACACGAGCAGAAAACGGTTATAGTTATTTGAAATACTGCCCAGTTGTCCCTTCTTTCTCTCCCAGAAACTTGATACAAGGGGTGGGGGCTGTTCAGGCATTCTGGGAGCGAAACAAGGCTCCTTTTTGTTTGAGACGTTGCTCTTTTTAAGTGGACTGAATCAAGTCCTTGGAGATTAACCCGTTAAAGGCTTCCATTGTTACATGGTAATTTTATATTTAGGAATCTTTATTACTAGAGGACACCTAATGGTCATTGGCTGTAATACTGTAGAAGAAACTTGTATGGCCACTGAAAAAGGCAAGCCGTGGAAAGTTCAGATTCTGCTTCTGGCTAAATTATAAAACAGCAAGGATGAAAATACCTCTTCTGAAGGGGGCTGTGGAATTCCTAAATGAATTATGTTCTATGGATAGGGGTGTGGTTAATAACACAAGAGATTGCCCCCCCAACCCTGCAGTAAAAATTGTTGTTTTGTGCCTTCAGGTTGCCTCCTACTTATGGTGACCCCATGAAGCAAAATAGGAGACGTAATAAGTTGAAGCAGTTAGACCAGTTAACCAAAGTGGGTGATCACACTTTGTTCTAGAATTTAGAAACTGCCAAATTAAAGTTAAAATAAGTTTGCCTGTTCTTGTATGTATAAACACATACAGATAATATTTATCTGTCTTATCTATAAAAGTGCACCCAAATTTTTCATCCAAATACAGAAGTATTGCATCTTAAAGATAAGAATACTGAGGATTTCTTATATACCTTTATTTTGTTGCAGGACAATCCTCAGAACACAAGCCACATACTCAAGTTACTTCTCAGCTGAGAAAGTTACTGGGAGACTTTATAAAACCACACAAATCATCACAAGGACAACAAACAAATTTGTTTGTCACCTCAAAGACCAACACATTAAGAGAGAAGCTTTTGTGGAGATAATGAAACATGCAATCACTTCTTCGCATATTCTCACAGTTTCAAATAAAGGTTTAAAAATGGGTAATAGTAATATGATCTTAGCCTGGCTGGGGTAGGGGCATGAATTTGACTGCATATGTGCAATGGGGGAAAGCCCAGAGGCATACCTAACTGGTTTACCAGCATTCATGGGGAAGAGTTAAGACCAAATGACACCTCATATGGAATTTACACTCCAAGCATTTTGTTTTCTCTAAGAGATCTTGAAATCCCTGACAACATTCCCCCAGGAATTTCTTGTGGAAGTTAGATATAATGAGGAAACATAATCAAATCCTGTACAGTAGTGATTTTTGTTTTTGTGCCAAGGGGTTGTTCAATAACAAAAAGGACTGGTACATCCACTGAAGCTGTCAAGCAAGGAGAGATGATAGTCACAGAGTGTGAAATGGGTATCCCTGTATAATAATAAATAATAATAATAATAATAATAATAATAATAATAATAATAATAATAATATGGGCTCGCATCTTTCAGTAATAAAGGATACCCATTTTACATCCTGTGACTATCGTTTCTCCTTGCTTGACAGCCAAGGGGGGGTTGTTCAGCCTGTGGAAGGTACCAGGGAGGAAATGGTCTCCAGACTCCTGGAAATTGTCTGCTCTACTCTATTTGACCACTTCTGCCCACTCAAGAACTTAGGGAGCTGTCTTAAATTGAGTAAAACACTTCATCAACTCTAATTGGTAACAACTTTCTGCCACTGAACTGTGCCCTCCCCCTTCCCATTTTTATTGACAATCTCAAAGAACTCTGAAGAGTTAAGTGATACAGGAATTACCCTTGCAGAAGCTATGTTGATTTTTCTTTTAAAAATTGCCTTTCTCTATATTCAAAACTTTTATCTTTAATTACTTTCTATTAGTATAGCCAGAAGAGACATAAATCTAAATAGTCTTTTATTTCCTGGATCCCTTTTAAAAGTTGGCGTTAAATCGGCCACTGCCTTGTTTTTCAGTATTAGAGGCCAGTCTTAAGAACATTTTACATACTTTTGTTACCGGGTCAGCAGTTTTACATCTGAGTTCTGTAAGAACTTTTGAATGGATACCATCTGGACCCCCTGACTTGTTTGTTTTCCAGTAAGAGCTAGAACTTTCTGCATCTTGACAGATTGCAGTGAATGTCATTTATTCAAGACTAGTCTCAACACCATGGAGTGTCTATTCTTATTGCTTCTCCCCACACACACCAGCAGAAATACTATGTTTGCTCTGAATATTGCCTGTTTCCAAATATTGGAAAGGACTCTGTAGTTCCATCGTTTTAAAAAAAGTATTTTTGTATTTTTTTTCTGTCCAGTAAGAGAGCCTTCTAAAAATTTAGCAAAATGGCTCCATTCTTGTATGCTAGGATCTGGTATGCTGCTTTGAAGTGATACATTTGGCTAGGGAATGGAAGGGAATGTTAAAATAGTTGCTGAAAGGCTCAGAAATTATTCAGAGGAAAACAAGAGTTTCCTCCTCAGAATTCAGACTAACGTCTGATTATACTTTCATCTCTTTAGCTCAGACAAGCTGAATAAGAAAACTGATTCAGTTACTGAACTGGAATGGATTCATTTGGGCACCGTTCACCAGGAAGACTGCTTGTATTCCTTTTCATGAGTGCTGCACAAAACGTTTCTTGGTAGTTTTTGCCCACAACCATCTATTTAAATAATATTTAAACAATCATCTCCTTGTAATAGAAGAACCTGTGTGCCTACATCCTTCTCTTTAGTGCCCAGGCCAACTTCTCTTTGGAAGTTTTTAAGGAAGGAGATTTCCTCACCGTCTGTTGGAACACATGTCACGGCTGCATTGAGAAGCATTTCGTCTTACCATCTAGCTGGGACCTGCTCTCTAGAATGTTGTTTGTAACTTTAAGATACAGTGGGCATGGCGCTCACATTTTAGATTTCTCGATATCAGGAAAGAGGTGAACTTTAGCCTCAACTTTCTATTTTTCTAAAGAGGGTCTGGGAATAACCTCCACAAACCCTTTTACAAATAAACAGGAAACTACAGAATCTGTGACCTTGCTGTGACATAGCTCTGGCTCTCCTCATGACTTTTAAACATATTAGTTCAATAGGGGGGGGAAAGGCTGCACAGAAAATGGGAAAAAGCCAACAAATTATCAGAAAACGAATGACAAAATAAGAGAAAAACAAGGAGCTAAGAATATCACTTGGCAGATGTGCTCATTTCCTAAATCTCTTTGATTGGATTTTCATTAAATATGTAAGTTCCCCCCCCCCAGACTAATGAAATGATAGCAGCATCTGCATTTAATTTTAAAAAGCTTAAATTTACCTAACTTATTTTTACACCGATCATGAATTTTTTTTATTTTTGTTTTGTTTTGTTTTGGTCATGTCAAGCTTTGGAGGAACCAGACTTTGGACCTCTGAAAGTTTGAAGGAAGGGATCATATTTCTCTCAAATAGTTTTAAATCTTTCAAGCCAAAGACAAAACTTTCTCAGGGTCTGTGCCAGAAGTGCTGTGCTGTTTCCAGTATGGGAGTTCCTGTATTACTAATTTGTTTCCCTAACTGTAACAAAAGTAGGTTTAGGCCAGATCCATATGAACAGTGTCAAAATAACTAGTGTCCCTATGGGACAGACAAAGAAATAGCAGGCAAATCATCCATTTACAAGTTTAGGGCATAGCTAACCTGGACAGATTTTACTCAGTTAACACCCTTCCTTGTTCCATTTTCTGTCCAAATGTTATCTTGTTCTTTTCATTTTGTGCTTTGTCCTATACACAGATCCATTTCCAGCAACTAACATTATGACTTCAGTAGTATATACAGTGGTGCCTCGCTTAGCGAGTGCACCGTATAGCGATGTTTCCGTATAGCGATCCCTTTTTTTGTATACTCTGAAGGTATGGTCTGAATGCATGTGATCTGAAAATATCATAGGAAATGCATGTGATCTGAAAATATATATATGCCTGTATATAGAATGTACATGGGACCTAAAACGGAGAGGGGGTTTGGGAACCATTTAAGCAATTTAAAATAAATGTTAGAGGCACAAGCTGATGACATCATCACTTTCCACTGCACACTGTTACACAAAATATTCGGGCCACTGGATTTAGTTTTTATTAAGTATGATTAAGCTTTTCAAATTTTATTAAAATAATCTTGGATAAAAGTACTGTATTCCAGATTGACTGTTTTGAAGAGGGGGGAGGGCATTACTTTTTTTATAGTGCATATTCTGTCTTTTTTATTGAAGGACTGCTTATTATCAAAAGATTTCTATGTGTGGTCCAAAGAGAATGAATATTGTTTAGTCATAGCCATTATTATTGTGCACTCATAACCTACTGAAATATACTCAAAGAAATTACTCCCCGGTGTGATCTTATTGTCAGAGCAGAGTAACAGAGTTTTCTTTCTTCTTCATTTGGCTCAGAAGAATCAGTTAACAGATCTCCTGAGCATAAGGTCATGTGGTAAGTGTTTTAATTATTGCATAATCTGTGGTCACTTCATTTATCTGCTTCAAATCCTAAAATGTCTAAATCGGTATCTATATTGCAACAGAGGCCTATGATTAAGAAGAGCCGTGCTGTTATTAGTTTCAGTTCTTTACTGAAGCATTTTTAAAATATATATTTGATTCTGAAATGTAATGGCCTACACAGGTTGTGTAGTCAGAGGTTGGGAGTTCAGTTCCCTACTGTGATAAGAACCAGCTTATGTGGCCTTGGGTGAGCTGTACAGTCCCAGGGCACCCACAGAAGAAGGAAAAGGTAAACAACTCCTGAGTATTCCCTACCTAGAAAACACGGGAAAAGCTGGAATTGATTTGATGGTATACAATGACTATTACAGAGAATTTCATAATCCCATTATACTTGATGAATCATAAAACTGAAACGTACAAATAAAGAACCAATTTTTATAACCAGAAAGAGCTCACATACATGAAGAATAATATTTACATCAGACCAAGTTTAGACAACTGGCACCTTCCAGAGGCTGTGGACTTTATCTTCCACAATCCTTGACTGCTGGCAATGCTGACTGAGGCCAAAAGGAGTTGCAGAACATCTGGAGAGTGCGAGCCTGTCCTCCTGCTTTTGATGAATAGGTTAGTAAAATGGAGACATGTGTCCCAATGTTTTCTGCACCTTCTTACATAGCCTTCCAGGGTGCATAAAATACTGGTAGTAAAATATAGCTTTAAAGAAAGAAAGCGTTTTAAAATTAGGCCTAGTTTATTTGACACAAAAAAACTCTTGAGTATATTTTCTTCACTTGCTTTTTAAAAAAAACATTCACAGAAGTTAAAACAATTACGACTAGTACAGTACATCTCTTGAAATATTGAAGCTATCAAGAGTTGCTGCACTCACTGATTTTTCTTATCCTTACATAATATGCATATCCTTTAAAATTCTCTTTGATTTGAATTTTGGTTCAAGGCTAAACTTCTACATAAGCTGATCTTTCAGATCTTTTCCTTGAAACGGCAAGAAGAGAGAGTGCGGGCAAGAAGAGGGAGGGAGGAAGAGCTTAACAGTGTTATACAAGCCTGCAACATGCATCTTGTTTAGAGACATAGAATGAGACAGCCTTTCTTAGGCCTAACCTATGGTGCATTGGGGCAGACCTTTGGCAAAAGCCTCTCTCCATTCCTGACAGTAACAATAAAATAATAATAAAGTAAACGACTAACGACATTAAAAATTTACTTGAGGCACTTGTCTCCCTCTGCCTAATAAGAGGGCTGTCCCTGATGTTTCAAGACAATGTCCTGAGAGTTGCTGTAATATGCCCAACCATTATAAACCTTGCAGGAACTAGGCTCAACATGGCAAAACCAAGTAACGGGCATGGGACTTGAGCATCTGAATTGGCATGGATGAAATAATCAAAGGCAGAGATTTGGGTCAAACAGAAAGCCCCACTGTGG